TCTCCAGGTCAGAGTAATACTCCTGTGGCACTTCAGCCACAGCACTAAGTCAGATTTTGAAATGTTCTCTTTCTATGACACCACAGGTAGAAAGGGTAGACCAAAAGGGCAAAGGAGGCCTTTATTCCATTTACTCCAACAGGTGTGCTCAAGGGCCACACTTCTACTGGACCCCCATATCTGCATCAGCATAGAGTAGCCAGACCAAGCTTACACTGTATGAAGCGCAAGAGACTGGTGTACAATCCAGAATAATAATATACAATAAAATATATAATAAAAATATAAACATGAAGTAGCTTGGATCTCATTACATAGGAAGCTAAGCTATAATCTGAAACTGTCTTGCCCTGCAATCAGAACAAAGGAGAGGGGAGTTAATTAGATTATTAAATGCCTAATTAACATTATAGTCACACCAAGTGGACTAAGCTCTTTATTCGGTTTTTTAATTTTAAAAAGTAAAGTTTATCTGTTTTCTTCTAAGTCAGATACAAAAAGAGCGATTAGCTGAAAAAAAAAAGCTTCTGCTTTTTATAACCAGTACCCTGGATTAACTGCAAGCTTAGCATTTGAAGCCCATCAGAAGTGGCTTGGCCCAGGAGTTTAGGACCTAAAAAGGTTTACTACTGGCTTTGCAAAGGAGAAGCAGTTAGCATGAAGGACCCCCTTAGAGAGGCAGAGCCCTATGTGGCTGGGGTACAGACATAGGTAGGGGCGAGATGAGCATCTGCGATCAGGTAGAAGACAGTCATAGGAGTCATCTTTTACCCATCATCAAGGTCAGGAACCTGTACAGTACACAGGGGTAGTAGGATGCTCAAGGATCATCTAGTTTTAATCTCTTGCTTTAGGAATGACTTGCTCAAAGACATAAAACAAATCTGCATCCAGCTGGGACTAGACTTCCGTTCAATTCTCTGATGTTACACTACATTGCTTATGACAAAACCCAAGGTCTCAAATGAAGCTTTGAAGAGAGCCCAAAGGAGAATGGGAGAATATAGGGGAAGACTGTGAAGATAATATGGCTAAAGTGATGGCCTTGATAGTTGACCTTACTAAAAATCTCCATGGCTTCTCCCTCTAGACTCAGATGTCAATAGAACTAACTCACTTAATCCTTTGAACTTTGCTTTTCTTATAAATAGAATGTATCTGACTGTAACACTGAGTTCAAAGTTAGCATGAGATACAAAGAAATAATGTGAGTAAAAGAACATTAAATGAATATTGGTATTTTTCCCACTCACTGTGGGCAAGAAACAATCATATAGTACCTGAATTTCTTAACATTTGCACACTAATGACCAGAAGGTAGAAAAGAAAGAGGAGACAGGATGATTAGAAAGAGAACAGGCTTACACATAGAGAACATCTTGTTTTGTGAAATGGATTGAGTAATCACATTTTTTCCAAGTTGTATCACTTGTTTCTCAGCCAGGACACTGAATGGCCCAAGTTCTGCTATTACTAAAAGCTGCATTATAAAATCAGCTGAGGGTATGAGGTGGGGGAGGAGAGAGTTGTTGGAGGAAACACTCCAGCTGCTGGGATAAGGACTGAAGGTCCTGATCTGGAAATGCCAACTGGAGTAACCTCCTACCTTCTGAGCTGGTCTTTCTGGTCATCTGTTAAAAATCTAAAATCTCCAGAGACACACTGGAGAGAAGGAGAAGAGCCAGCAAACACCTCTGGAATCATCGGCCACACCGTGTGCTGTATTTCTCATCAGCATGATGTGCAGTCAGAAAAAAAATGAGTCCAGAAGACTCTCCTGCTCCCCTGGCTTTTGAGAATCACCCAATTGCTCTAGGAGCCTTACCAGTCAAAATAGCAGAGTTATTCTAACCAAGGAAGTAAGAAACTCAACCTACTAACTGACTATGGCTGGGAGCATCAAGGCTTATCCTGTTTTAGTCTCAAGTAAGCAAAAATGACTCCACTATTACTTTCAAGGAACTTCTTTTCCTGCTACTTCCACAGAGATACTATCTTACAGACTCTGTAGAGGGAGGGCAATGGATTCTCACACTGACCCCACATTTGTTTCTTGGAGCATTTAGAGGAGTAGCACTTTTCCAAGGCAGAAAGTCTGTCTTCTCTCCTCCATGCTGCCCCCATCTCAAGTTCTCTCCATTCAGTGCCACCAACCTAATCCAAGCAACCCTATATTTTCTTTGTCCACAGTCACCATGATAAAACCCATTTTCTATAAACCAGCCCAAATTAGGTCCTAAATAACAGTTTTATTGATCTGTACTTCACATACCGTAAAATTCACCTTTTAAAGTGCATAATTCAGTGTTTTTAGCAAACTCAGAGTTGTGGGAATATCATCCCTGACTTTAGAACATATTAATCATCCCCAAAAGAAATCTCATACCCATTAGCAGTCACTTCCCATTTCCTCTTCTTCCAAAGCCCCTAAAACCACTATTTTGTCTCTCAGTTTTGCCTATTCTGGACATTTCATATAACTGCAATTACACAATGTGTGGTTTTCAGTGATTGGCTTTTTCACTTAGAATAATGTTTTTAAGGTACATTTATGTTGTAGCATAAACCAGTACTTCATTCTTTTTTTATTGCCAATAAATAAATAATTTATTTCATGTGAATATAACACATTGTACTCATCTTTTCATCAGATGGACAGTTGAGCTATTTCAATTTTTTGGCCGTTATGAATAATGCTGCCATGAAGTTCAAGTTACATTTTTGTGTGGACATATGATTTCTATTCTCTTGGGTATATACCTATAAGTAGACTTGCTAGGTCACAGGTAATTCTATGTTTAACATTCTGAGAAACTTCCAAACTGTTTTCAAAGTGGCTGCAGCAGTATAGAATCTCACCAGAAACATATGAGAGTTCCAATTTCTCTACATTCTCACTAACACTTACTACTGTCTGTCTTTAGATTATATCCATACCCATGGGCGTAAAGTGGTATCTCACCATGGCTTGGATTTGCGTTTCCCTAATGACTACTGATGTTGAGTATCTTTTCAAGTGCTTACTGACCTTTTGTATATTTCCTTAGGAGAAATGTTTAAGTCCTTTGCCCATCTTCTCAACTGGGTTATTTACCTTCTTTATTGTTCAGTCATACATGCTCTTTTGTATTCTTGGACACAAGTCCAAGTGTTGTTGTTTTTTTTTAAAGTAAATCAGATTTTGTTACTCCTTCTAATGATTCCCCATTATGTTTAGAATAAAGTCCAAATTATCACTCTGGCTTATAAGATCCTACATGATTGTGCCACTTTCCCCCTCCCACGGTACACTGTAGTCAGAGCAGTATTCTTTCTGCCCTTGAAACATAATAAACTCATTCATGTCTCAATACCATTGTAAGTATGCCACATCTGCTTGCTTGGAATTCTCTTTCCTTGCATGACTTCTTTTTGTCATCGAATTCAAATATCAATCATCTTTTTGGACAATTTTTCCTAAAAAGAAATTGTATCCAAAAAGCTCCCCCTCCACAAAAATGAACAGCAAACTTTTGGGGATGCTGGATATGTTCATTATCTTGACTAAGGTAATGGTTTCATGCATATATATATATGTCAAAACTTTTCAAACTGTATACTTTAAATATGTGCAACTTATTTTACTTAAATTATATTCAATAAAGCTGTTAAATGAATCCCTTCACAGTCACTATCTTTTCTTTTTTTGATAGTGTGGATACTTTTTTTTTTCTATTTATTTTTATTAGTTGGAGGCTAATTACTTAACAACATTGTAGTGGTTTTTGCCATACTGGGATGACCCAGAGGGATGGGATGAGGAGGGAGGTGGGAGGGGGGTTCAGGATGGGGAACACATGTAAATCCACAGTCGCTATCTTATGATACTTTATTTCCTTAGGAAAAACTGTCTATCTGAAATCATCTTGTTTATTTCTTGATTTAAATGTTTATTGACTATTTCATCCCTCTAAAATGAAAGTGTCATGAGGGCACTTGATGAATGCTTTTCATCTTTGTGGCTACTGTATCCTCAGTTTGGCCCAAAATTAGGTACTACATAAATATCTGGCTAATTGAATGAATGAATCTGATAGAGGTTTAGAAATGAAACCCACAGACAACAGGAAGGGTGACTTTCTATTCTTTCAGATTTACCAGTACTTTTAGGAATGAGATTCTTACTATTTATTTTCTTTATTAAGAGCTACCTCAAACTTTATCCTGGATGTTCTCCAACATCATGACCATCAGAAATATCACTGACTGTTCACTACTCTGTGGTACTATTCTAGTACTTTATGTATACTATCCCATTAGTAGCAGTTATAATAATAATATAGCATATTACATAGTAATTATAATAAATACTAATAATTATGTTAATATAGAATAACAGCATAAGTAATACAATAAAAACATTTGTTTAGCATTTGGTGTTTGCCAGAATTATGTACGCATTTTGCCCATGTAATCTCATTTATAAAGTAGGTATTCTTTTACAGATGAGGAATTTTGAGGTTTAGAGAGGTCAACTAACTGACCAAAAAGCCACACAGCTGGGAAAAGGCAGAGATGGACTTCAAATCTAAGTCTATCTTACATCTAAGCCCATGGTTTTTCCATTAAACTACAGTGCTGGTTAAGTATTTTTATATAATACAATGTTACTCCAGCTCAATTACAAAGATGGGATGTTCACCTCAAGAATGATACTACTCAAACTCTGGAACAGTCCAGAAATAAGAGTAAGAGAGACCAGAAGCTAGTTGCCTAAGAATAAACCAAGCTATTTAGCAAGGAAATATTACTTTATGCCAAACTCCATGTCTATCCTCATGTGATGTTTAAATTCTTTCTGTTTCTGACTACTCTTGACTAGATGTTGGTTTTTAGCCCTAGTTGTTGGCCCCTGATCCTCCTTTGCCTGTGAGTGAGGTTTACTGGTGAAGGTATGCTGACCATGAGAGATGTAGGTAGGCTCCCTTAGCAACTTGGGTTCCGACTTTACAAGCCTTTACCTTTAGTGCCAGGTGGCTGCAGGTTGTCTCCAGTCAAGGAACACCAGCCCACAGGGAAGATGTCACGGGAGTCAAAGCGGCACCAGTAGTCAAAGGCCCCTCGCCACCCATCGAAAGTGACAAGGACCTCTGAGCCCCGCACTTCCCCAATAGTGGCTGGGCAAATGAAATGAGGGTTCTTCCTGTCCACAGCTTCTAGCTTCATTCCCATTTTGAAGAAGTTGTGAGAAGGTGACGGTGGTTCCTAGATAAGAGACAAGAGATATACAGACCTAGACACAGAGAGAGAGGCTATGTATGCCAAGAGACTGGTACTTCATTTGGATGATTAGAAAGTGCTATATAAGATTTACAATGGAACTTTAGACTTTCCTTTAAATGAATTTCAAAGTATACCAAAGTATTACTTTGTTAATTCTAATATTTTAACATCTGTGCTTCAAGTCTTTTTTTTTTTCAAGAAATAAAAAGGTAACAGATAAGGCTGAATCCTCCACTGTGCCCTTCCCCATGCATATTTTTATACTTTACTGTGTGTGTATGCTGCTGCTGCTAAGTCACTTCAGTCGTGTTCGACTCTGTGCGACCCCATAGACGGCAGCCCACCAGGCTCCCCCGTCCCTGGGGTTCTCCAGGCAAGAACACTGGAGTGGGTTGCCATTTCCTTCTCCAATGCATGAAAGTGAAAAGTGAAAGTGAAGTCGCTCAGTCGTGTCTGACTCTTAGCGACCCCATGGACTGCAGCCTACCAGGCTCCTCTGTCCATGGGATTTTCCAGGCAAGAGTACTGGAGTGGGGTGCTGTTACCTTCTCCGTCTGTGTGTGTGTGTGTGTGTGTGTGTGTGTGTGTGTGTGTGTGTGTGTGTATATATATATATATATAATTTGCATACTTTAAAATTTTGTATAAATAGCATTATAGTGAACATGTCATTCTACAACTTGCTTTTTTTGTTTTCAACACTATGTTTTTGAAATGTATCCATGTTGTAAATTTAGCTGTAGTTTAACTGCTAATAGTACTCCATTATATCATAATTTATTTCCTCTCTTTTGACAGACATGTAATGTTGTTTTGAATTGTTTATTATTTCAAAAGAGTTTTCACAGCCATTCTTACAGTTGTTTCTTTTTTCATATGTGGGAAGATTTTTCCAGCATGTATACCTAAGAGTAGAATTGTTGGGTTATAGGATAAATATATGGGCTTCCCTGATAGCTCAGATGGTAGAGAATCTGCCTATGATACAGGAGACCCAGGTTCAGTCCCTGGGTTAGGAAGATCCCCTGGTGAAGGGAATGGCTACCCACTCTAGTATTCTCGCCTGGAGAATTCATCTTCCACTTTATTAAATATTGTTAAACTGCCCTCCAAAGCAGCTGTAATATAAACTCTCTCCAGTACTGTAGCTAGTTCTTGGGTGCCAATTTGCAATGCAGTTGCATAGAGCTTCCAAAAAACTGTTGTACACTCTGTTTCCCTTTGTCTTACTATCTGATCCTGTGCCAATAACAGAGTCTTATTAAATGTGTGTCTGGAAGAAAAAGTCCCCCTACTTTGTTATTGTTCACTGTTGTTTTGGCTATTCTTTCTCCTCGATCTTTCATACGAATTTCAGGATCAGTTCTTCAAGTTCCACAGAAAAATCCTATTTGTATTTTGACTGGAATCCCAGTGAATTTATAATTTGGGAAAAAATAACTTTTGTATGATATTGAGCCTTTCCTTCCATGAACATAGCATTTTCCATATGTTAAGTATTCTTTAATGGAGATGTCATCTTCAGTATAAGTTTAAAAATTCCTTATAAATATCTTACATTTTACTAACATTTTTCTAGCCATACTGTAACCTATTGCTGTCTTAAAGAGTATCTTCAAAAATTTCATTTTCAAACCACTTGTTAAATAGGAATGACTTTATTTTTTAAAACTGATTTAAATTGATGAAGAATTGATGCTTTTGAACTGTGGTGTTGGAGAAGACTCTTGAGAGTCCCTTGGACTGCAAGGAGATCCAGCCAGTCCATCCTAAAGGAAATCAGTCCTGAATATTCACTGGAAGGACTGATGCTGAAGCTGAAACTCCAATACTTTGGCCACCTGATGAGAAGAGCTGACTCATGTGAAAAGACCCTGATGCTGGGAAAAATTGAAGGCAGGAGGAGAAGGGGACAACAGAGGATGAGATGGTTGGATGGCATCACCGACTCAATGGACATGAGTTTGAGTAAACTCGGGGAGCTGGTGATGGACAGGGAGGCCTGGCATGCTGCAGTCCTTGGGGTCACAAAGAGTCGGACAGACTGAGCAACTGAACTGAACTGAATTGATTTATAACTGATTAGCTTATGCTGATTGATACTTTTTTGTCTTGTAATTTTTTCTTGTCTATTTGATTTATCAATTATTGAGAGATGTGTATTAAAATATCCTCTAATAATTGTGGATTTTCTAATTTTTCTATGTAATTCTGTAAAATTTTGCTTTATCTATTTTGAGGCTTTTTTAGGAGCATGTATAACTTTTATCTTCTTAGTGACCTATTTTTTTTTATCATTAGATGGTAACTTCTTTAATGCTTTTTAGCACCAAAGTCTTGTCTAATTTCAGTATAGTTAACACCAGCTTTATTTTGATAACAGTTTGCCTGGTATATGATTTATATTATTTTATTTTTAACACCTTTGTGTCATATTTCAGCAATGTCTCTTGTAAGCAGCATGCAGCTAGATTTAAAAACAATCTGATCTATGTCTGACTAAACTGATGAGTTTAATTTCTCACAACTGATGTATTTAAATTTATTACAATTATCATTTCTAAATATCATTTCTATTTAACTTGATTTTTCAAGTTGTACCTTTAACTTCTTTTTTCTCCTTAACAATCAACTGAATTTTCTTCCCTTTTCCCCTTTCCATTGATTCAGATGTTAATCATTCTATATTTAATCTTTTGGTGGATCCCCTTCAGATCATAACTGTACAGCTGACATAATTAAGTCTAAAATTCATCCTTAATTAAACAATACTAGGACCTCTGAATATTTAAATTACTCCTGGGTTAACAGGTATTGGATAATTTAGTTCCATACTGTTATACTGCCAACTGATCACTTTTGCTGTATAACTGGTTTATACAGTCACAGGCAATGACTGATTAGTTATACTCACATGCTAACCTATCTTTCCCTCGCACTACATTTTGCATCTCATTCTTACTTTCTAGGTTCAATTATCTTCTTCTTGAAACATACTCTTTAATTGTTCTTTCAGTGAATATATTTGTATTAGTTTGCTGGAAATGTCTTGATTTTACATTCAATCTGAAATAACAGTAGAATTAGACATAAAATTCTAGGTGGACAACTATTTTTTTCTTAATTCTTTGAAAGTATTATTCTATTGCCTTTTCTCTTGTACTACCACTGTCAAGAAATGTGTTGTCAGCCTTACTGGAATGCCTTTGAAGGTTCAGTCTGCATCGTGAAAGCTGCAGATATGGGGAGCTTGCTGCACTACACCATTTTATATAAGGGAGTTGAGTGTGTGTGGATCTTTGTATTCAGGGGTTCCTGTAACCAGTCCCCCATAGATAGTGAGGATGACTGTATTCTGTGTGATTATCTGCTCAGATCTTTTGACTTCAGCTACTCCACAATGTTTTAAAGTATACATTTGTCTTTATCACATGTTCTGGAAAATTCTGTCATTATCTTTTCAAATACTGACGCTTTTATTTGTTGTGGAACTCATGTTCAGCATATATCGGACCTATTCTAATATTATTATCTTTATCTTTTCTCTTTAATATTTTCCATCACTTCATCTCTCTGTATTGCATTCTGGAGAAATTCTCACACATGTCTTGAAGTTAATTCTTATCTAGGTTTAAGTTGCCTAAACACCTATCTAAGATTTTTATTTTATTTTTAATTTTTAAAAGATTTTTAAATTTAATGGTTTCATTTTTAGATATTCAATTTGTTTTTTTCAACTTTGTCTTTAAAAAAAATAGAGATTTGTACTTTTCTCATTTTTAAATTTCTTCTTTTCATCCTTTAATCATTTTCAAATACTTTATTTAAAATTTCTATCTGATGTTTCTATTATCTGAAACTGCTTGAGGTTATAGTCTTACTGTTTGTTGTTTCTACTGATGTTTCATCATGCAGGATTTGTTTTGAGAGTTTTGAGGGCTCTGTGATCATGAACTGAACTGAACTGATTTTCAGTGGTACTTCACTTTTGGGACTTCTACGACATCTGGGTTGAAAACAACCAAACCCTCTAGAGAGGTTTTGGGTTTCCTTCTGCCAGGCACTCAGAAATATCCCCCCTATAATTTTGGAGTTCTGAGACAACACAGGCACTATCTCTGAACCCTGGACTTCCATGGGGGAAAGCTTTTATCAGAAGAATGACTCAGTTCCCCTACCCATGGCCCAGTTAGAGACTCTTCCTCATCTTTTCACTAAGGAGTAAACATTTGAGGGATCCATCTGTTTATTCATGTGGCTGTCCCAGGTCCATTTTCTGCCTTACATGGGCCCAAGGCTTCAACTTCTATCTTACTCTAGCTGTTAAAAGACAAGGTCCTTAAAAAGTAAGACTGGTAAAGCTCCTTAAGGCATCAGCAGGTTCAGTACACCTAACACTCTGGTTTTCCTTCTTCATTTTGGCCTTGGAGAGTCCTCTTACTGCCTAGGAAGATCAGTAAAGCATTTAAAAGAATACTTGTTGGCCCCTACCTCCCACCATTTTGAGGTACTATCCAGTGGAAGGATTTCAAATTGCCCAGTACACTGTATTCTGGGAACTATGGTATTCTCAGGTTTTAGACTTAAATGGCATCATGTTATGTTAAGTAGCTTCAGTCATGTCTGACTCTTTGTGACCCCAAGGACTGCAGCCTGCCAGGCTTCTCTGTCCATGGGATTCTCCAGGGAAGAATACTGGAGTGGGCTGCCATTTCCTTCTCCAGAGGAGCTTCCCAAACCAGGGATCAAATTCAGATCTCTTACATCTCCTGCATTGGCAAGCGGGTTCTTTACCACTAGTGCCACCTAAAAAGCCCAAATGGCAGCACAAGTAATGCTAATTCAGCCTCCTTTATAGTAACTCCAATCTCATGAAAGATCAACTGAGAGGAGACTGACTGCCTTTTCCCTTTAAAAACAAGGAAAAACAAATACAGGTTTTTAATTCCTATTCTACCACTTACTAGTCATGTAATCTTGGGCAAGCTCCTTATTTGAAAGTGCTTTGTTTCCTTAACTACTAAACCAAAATAATAATTCTTACTTGATAAAGTTAACTGTGGGTATTAAATGACATAGTGTATATAAACCCCAAACATACTGCAGACACTTAAAAAATAGTCTCCTTCCTTCTTCTCTGTTTAGAAGATGGACCTTATGGAACTCCATAAGAATAGCCTTTAGATTTATATTACATTTTGTATGTTTTACTAACAAAAAATGTTTAACTTCTTAATAACCCTGTGAGGTAGACAGAAATCCACATTACAGATGAGGTCAAAACTGATTGTCAGTAGAGAAATATGAAATCCCCAAACCCAGAAATCCTACCTTATAATCTAGTATTTCTCTGGGGATAATTGCTGCTTCATAAGGTACTTTAAAAATCCTTCTGCTGAACTAGTTTCTGAAAAGGCATCCTCAGGCCATAAATATAATACAGACATTAGAGGCTCAGTAATTGAAAGGATGTACGCATTTGACCTTAAGTAATTTGGAGCTGGTGATAGCTGAGGAACACTGTACCTTGTGGAAAATCCTGATGGGAGCCATCTCTGCTCCATTTAGCGTCTTCAAAAGGAACATGGGCCAAGAAGAAGCATTCAGCCGAAATCCTGCAGCAAACATAATGGGCAACAGATTAAAAAATACACTTCAAAGGGAATTGCAATACCAAGTTTTCTCTTGGGAATCCAGCTACTCCTGCCACAACCTATGCTGTGATAGTTACACAGACTGTTAAGAAAGGACTAAAAGGTTAAGCAGAGAAAATGCCTCATTAGACAGATGAGAAAATGAGGCACATAAGAGGGAATGTAACTTGTTCAAGGTCATGTTGCAAAGGTAGTAGTAAAGTCCCCAACCACGTTTCCTGACATCAAGACAAGTATTATAGAACGTACATCATAATGCCTGAAAAGTTTCCTTGAAAAATCCGAAATAGATGTGTGAAAGGAATAACAAATACTTAGAAATGATCTAGACAGTACAGTGTGAAAGGGGATATAATAATCTCTTAAGAAGAAACCAAATATGTCTGATAAATCCAATACAGAAGTAAAACTTTTTGGTTTATCTCAATATAAACATGCTTTCACTCTCTCACTTTCTCTTTCCCCCTCTCTCACACATACATAGAATATAAAAAAAACTTTTGGATATTCATTTTTACTTAACGAAGGATCAGGCTTCATGATGAAGATGAAAGGGGTCAACATATTCAAAAATATTCATTTTCCAAAAGAGTCAAAGGAAGCCTAGGGAGGTTAATTGTCCACTGTCATTCCTCAATGACAAGTCATTGGAAAAGATCGTGATGCTGCGAAAGACTGAAGGCAAAAGGAGGAAGGGGGAGCAGAGGACAAGATGGTTAGACAGCAACACCAACTAAATGGACATGAATTTTAGCAAACTCTGGGCGACAGTGGAGAACAGAGGAGCCTGGAGTGCTACAGTCCATGGGGTTGCAAAGAGTTAGACACAACTTAGTGACTGATCAATGACAAGTCAAGAATATACTATTTAATTAATAAACTGTAAAAATAAGATCATTATCATATTTTCCAATTAGAGCTCCAAGTGCTCTCTTCAATTTGACTTCAACCTTCTACCTTCAGATACCAAAATCTAGTGCTTTTTGATAGTCTCCCAGTCGACCTCAGCTCTCCCGTTCCTGAAAAAGGACAGACAGGCTGAACCACAGCTGCACAGCTGGAAACAGCAACAATAATATCTGATTACTGTGTACTTCACTGTGGGCCAGATACTGTGCCAGGCACTTTCTACTGGGTATCTAATTTAATCCTCAAGACAACCTAGTGAGGTAGAAATTATCTTCATTTTATAGATGAAGAGAGGTATAAACTGCTTAAGATTTCAAAGTGAACAAATGACAAAGAAAGGACTGAAACCCAGGCAATCTGACTGTTGAGCCTACGTACGCTCTTATCTACCATGCTAAATTATCAATGTGCATGGGAAATGGAAAAGGAAGAAGCAGCTTTTGGGATTAAGTATTAATTAAGAACTCTAATTAAATTAAAGGGGGGGTGTGAGAAGAGAGAAAAAAATGGAAATAAGAAAAGAGGTACTACCCCATATGATTTAAATGCTTAGTCTCAAAGCTGGCTAGGCTAAATGGGGTTTCCCAAGGTCAGGAGACTTCTTGGGCTAGCCCATTCTTATCAACAGTGGAGATAGCAATTTGTACATTCCTATCAAACTGATACCACTTCCTTTTTTGCCTGCCTAGCCATTTTTCCTTTTGCAAACCATCCCCACCCCATTCCAAACCCTAATTTTAGGTGATTTGGTGGGGATGTCTAGTGGGTTCTACCGACCTACCTGGCTATGAAATGCAAGATAATGCCATTTAAGAGAATCACATTCCCTTTAGACCAAAAGTATGTTATGTATGTCTCAAACTGGCTCAACTGTTTTCTGATATGATATGCATGTTGGAGAGCTTTTCCTTCTCTGAGATCATAGTTGTAAGGGTGTTTGTAGATTTGGCACTGCTAACTAGAGAATAAAACCAAGAATAAAGCCAACGCAGAGCAGAAGATGGAGAAACACGAGAGTATTTAAAACAACTCTCCTTAAGTCAGGAAAGGAGCCAAACCTAAGCAGATCTGCCATGAAGGGTTCACTACACCTAAAGATAAGGCACAGCTGTTCTAGAGAAATGTTCCCTGCACCTTTGTAAAACAGAGGAATAACACAATTAGAAAATTCAGATTCATGCCCTCAGTTCCCAACAACTAGAGTGCCTCACCATGTAATTCCCAATTCAATTTTTCAGAAATGGGTTACTGAGAGGCTTCTATCTCACCTGGTACTTGAGCTAAGAAAAAAAAAATCATCTCACTCTGGAAACCCTTATTATAATAATAGCTAACATGTATTGAATGCTTATCATGTACTACTTTACAGGTACCTTCTCTCAGGATATTTCAAATAATACCATGAGAAGTACACTATCATTATCCCTAGTTTGCAAATGATGAAAGAGAAACTCAAGATAAGTAGCTGGTCCAAAGTAGTAAGTGGTGGAAACAGATTCTACTACATAATGGTCTTACTCCAAACCTCATGTTATTAACTATGTTTCCCTACCTCTTAGCAAGCTTCTTCAAGAGTAGAAGGGCAAAGAAGAAACGCTGCCAACTCAATTACTGAGTACTTTATCCCCCAACCCCCAAGGTGATGTGGGACCCCTCAAAATTCAGATATATTCATAATCTGGTCTTGGGGAGTCACAGATGGAATTCAAACACTGAAAGGTTTTTCAGAGACCAGATAGTATGAAGGTTTTATATTGCAGACGACAAAACTGCAGTCCAGAGAGGTTAAGAAACTTGTTCACGATCACATAAGTTGTTCCGGCAGTTAGGCTGGAGCCCTAGGACTTTTCATCTGTTTCTCTTTCACTATATCATGCTGCTGCCCACAGAAAACATTTATTCCGTTCATATTACGTGCTAGCCTCCAAATGGTAAGTACTTTTAAATGGGCTATCTCATTTAATCACTTCTACAGCTCTGTGAATTTGGCATGAGAAAAGCAGCACTGGGTTTGGATCCAGGCTGCCTAGATTCAAATTTAGCTCTGCTACTTAACTGGTGTGTGACATCCGGGAAATAATAAGGTCTCTTTCTGGCTTTAGTTTCCTCAACAATAAAGTGGGATAAGACTAGTAACTACTTCAATGGGTTGTTTTAAGGATTAAAATAAGTTAATATAAATACACATGAAGCACTTATAAAGATACCTGGTATATAATAAGTATTAAATAAATGCTGGCTTTTATTTTGACTATTATAGATAAAAGACTGACCTAGTCAATAGCAGAGCAGGATTTAAACCAGACTCTTCTGTCTCCAGAGCCTTCATTATTAATCAGCACATTAATGTCTTCAAGCATTTAATCACTCAGTTCTACCATGCTATCTCTCTTGGTAAAAGAGTTGGAGTTGTACACTTGTGCAAAAAGGAAAAGGAAAAAACAATAATTTGAGGGTTTCCTCAAATTAAACAACAGCGTTCAAGAAAAAGGCCAGGTGGGTAAGAAACCTTACCCTCTAAAGTGGGAGTACCTCAGGACCTGGCCACTGGTTCTCTCTTCTTTGGTCTGCACTCCTTTCCCATCAACGATGGCTGCCAATTTATATCTCTAACCCAAACCTCTGTCCTGAGTTTCATGCTCATATTTTCAACCGCCTTATTTTATAATTCTCCTTGGATGCCAAGAAATCTCAAAATGAGTGAGTCTAAAACAAAACTCTTGATTTTACAACCCCCTTTCCTCTAGTCACCTCATCTGGATTCATACCATCAGTAATTTAAACCCAGGTTCTGAGACCAAAAAGCCTGGAAGTCACTCTTGGTTCCTCCATTTCTACTGTCTCTCAAATATAATTAATCAGTAAGTATTGATGGTCCTTACATCGAATATATCCTAAACCAAACCATTCCTTGCCATTCTATATTTCTTCCCCACTAACACCCTAATCTAAGCCACAGTCAGACTCTGCCCATCCTACGACAACAGCTTTCTAACCATTCTGCTTCTACTTTTGCCTCCCTACTGTCTATTTTCCACACAGCAATCAGAATGATATGGTTATGTTTCTAAACATAAAAATCAGATCACATCACTCTTATGCTTACATCTTATACTACAAAATAAGTCTAAAGTCTTTATGTATTTAACAAAACTTACAAGATCTAGAACTTTCTTATGTCTTATAATTCACCTCCTATTTCTCCCCTGCCCTTTGAGTACTGGTCTTTCTATTTCCCAAGCACACCAAGCTGTGTCCCTCTGCCTCAAACACCCTTTCCTTTTCTCAAATCTTTTATTAGTTCTTTGCTGAAATACCACCTCTTCAGAATGGCATTCCTAGACTACTCTACCTCAAATAGCCTCATAGATCCTGCACCTTATTATCCTTAGCTTTCATCAGTGCCTACATTTTCTTTTTTCCATGTAATGTGTGTTTTTTCTAGCCAGAATATAAGCTCCATAAAAGTTTTACTGAACAAAGGAAAAAAATCTCCACTTATTAAATGGGTGCCAGTATCATGTTATCCCATTTAATCCTCACAAAAACCATGGGTGGCAGAGTTTATTAATGATCTGGCAGGTCAGGCACCTGAAACTGAAGGTTAAAAGTCAAGGTAAAGCAACTTATCATTGGCCACACAACTAAACTAGTAATATTATAAAGCCAGGTCTCCAATTCTGACCCCAGGCATTTGCGAGTGTTCTGTGCTTACCTCAGCTTTCTTTTACAAGTGTTTATAGACAATCAGTTCCAAAGAACTTTCAGATGCTCCTGAGACTGTTGGATTACTGAATAAATTAAGGTTCGTCTGCTTAAACAGTGATCTGAGCAAGCTCTGGACTTCAATGTAGATAAGCAGGCTAGAATCTAATCGCAGTTCATGCCCTCTGGTGGTAGGTAATAGAACAGCACTCATACCAAGAAGCACATGTACATGTGTACATGTATGTAAGGCTCCTCTGGGAGGAGAAAATGATTTGAGAATCATCTTGACAGTTATAGAGTCTAAAGCTACTCTAAGTTATTAGACTCTATGGCTCTCGAGATGA